TCGACAGGCAGCTTTAGTTCGGGCATGTTGATGTTGATCGCTTTGTTCCCTTGCACAGGACCATTCGCGGTGATGAGATTCACCGGCCTAGTAGCATTCTTGACTGGGGTTTCGGCGTAGTACGTAGCATGATCGTGTCTACTGATCAGATCTTCTTCGCTACCGGTATCGGCGAGGAACTCTAGTCCCGCATTAAACCCCGGACATGCTTTACTGCTCAAGTTCATGCAGTGTTCACATGTGAGGATTGCGACGGGTGGTTCTTTGTGTTGGCCCTCGTCGTCACTTTCCTCGTCACCGCACAAATAGTTACAGGGTGCCGAAACCCCGTTCACCATGGATGACACTACACCTTCCAACTCAGCTGCTACCATTATGGCTTGCTTGAGGTCCCTTGGGTCAGAAGGTGGACAGCTCTCGGCATCCAAGTAACACACTTCGAAAGTTCGTTTCTTGGTCTTATGCCTAAAGCCTTTGCCTTCGGATGGGATTTCTTTCACCTTGGGTGTTTCCTTAAAGCGTAGCTTCTTAGTCGGTCCCGTTGCACCATCACGGCCTCTGTGGACATCGGGAGCAGCAGCAAGTGCATACGAAATGCAACACGCCGCCGATCGTCCTTTGTCCTTGCTCTTCGACCGTCCCCTGCTCCTGTTTTTACGACTCTTTGGGTCGGGCGTTGGACTCCTTGGCTTGTCAGGAGGCTTGGCAGGGGCGGCCTGCTCACTGGGAGCGGCTGTAGATGGCTTTGGCTTTTCCTCGTGAAGGAACCTACATTCGCTTCCTTTGTTGCATTTTCCTTTCTTCCAAAACATGCAGATTGCGTCATTTCTTCTGTGGGTTCCTAGTTGCGCTAGGTTGTCTGCTTGGAGACCTCGATTTGGGCTTGTGGATGTACTTGCACTTGTCGCCTCTAGTGCATTTGCCCCGTTGAAAGTCGTAGCATTCCATGTTCTTCGGGCTTTGGGATCTTCTCGGTGATCTTTGGTTGGATCTCTGGCTGCTAGTCCTAGACTTGGAGCTACCTCGGGAGCTACTTCTTCCGCGGCCTCCTCGGGAAGAGGGGCGTTCAGTATCGTAGGCAGGGGCTCCATACTTTTCGCCATGTGACTTGGCGATTCTATCGCGGTTCTTACGCATCCTTTCGCGGGTAAGGTAATCCCGCACTGCGTTCACGAGAAACTCGTAGGTATGGGTTGGGGTCCCCTCCTTTGCACGATCGAAGATCTGAAGATCGTACTTGATACTGTGAGACTTCCGAACCTGTCTCAAGAAGATGTCCCGTAAAGTAACCTCGTCCGGAACATGGCTCATCCCTGCGATCACCGACTCAATGTTGTAAAGGAACGTGGCTAGGTCGTCCCCAACCAATGTAACCTTCAAAAGATCCTCAACACTGTAGAGGCTTCCAACTTCCTCGTTGGTCTTGAAATGCTGATGAAACATCCACAAAACCTGACGTCCCCTTACAGCTCTCCCCATTGAAGCTTCTGTTTCCTTGAAATTCAAGACTTGTCGCGCTATTTCCCCCCTGGCCACACGTGTAAGGGCAGCTAAGAGTTTAGTGTCCAACGTAAGGAATTTGCCAGTGTCATGTAAAGACGCTACCGTTGCATCCTTACCGTAAGTCTCCTGCACCCAGCGGAAAGCCTCGTCAGGGCGATCGCTCGCCGCTCGTACCATCTCACGCACTGAAATTTTCCACGAGCGGTAGGTCTCTGGGTTTGGATAATCGGGAAGTTTGATGCTCTCGGCTTCTTTTACCTTAGGCTTGTTGTCTTCAGACTCAGGCTTATTCCCTAGGTTGATTGCGGCCTGCAGGAGTGCTGCGGCATTAATTTCTTGCTTGCTACTCGACTCTGCAGGCGGCACCCCATTTTGTTCGTTTCCCTGCTTGTTGGTGGGAGTTAGATCTTTGGGGAGGTCCTCGAAGCCGGGCGGCACTGTGGGGCTCGGCGACTTTGTTGCGAATAGATGTTTCCAGTTTTCTGGGATTTCGTGGGGGTTCGAGAAAGCTGTTCGGAGAGGCTTTTCCGTCTTTGGAGGTGCGGCCTGCTCCTTAGGAGCGGCTTCTTGACCACTACCTCCTGGCGCTGCCTTTCCCTCCATACGAAGGGATCTTTCAGCTGCGGCCAACTCATCCTGCAGCCTCTCGTTTTGTTCGCTCATTTCGCTAACTTCTTGGGAAAACTTTGATTGCATAGCTTCTTCTGTTTCATTAAGCAATTCTTTAAAACGGAGACCCATGAAGTTGAGAGCCTCGTTCTTGTTTCGCTCGCCTTCCTCGATCAGAGTGGTTCTGAGTCGATTCATTTCAATGTGATGGCGTTGCTGAAACGTGAGTTCCATGGTTTCGAGTTCTTTGCGGCACGAAGCCATTTCCCTCAGCAAAAACTTTCCCTTTGGGAAGCTTGCTTGAGTTCAGCTTTGCATTCTGACATACGATCCTCGTGCGCCTGTTCGGCTCTTGCTTCCATTTGTTGAATTTCCATCGTTGTCAGATATGACTGCTGCTGTGCATGAACCCTGTGTCTTCTTTCTGCTTCAGCTTCGGTCTGTAATACTGCGGCCCTTGCCTGTTCTGCTGTTTCTCCCACTTGGATGTACTGCTGATAGAGAGGAGTAGTGTCTTGACTCAAGTTCATCGTGGGTGCAAACACAGACGGGAAAGACATAAAGGGCGAAACGCTTGCAGGGTTAAAGACTTCTGCAAGTGTCGACATACCTGAGGCGGGGACGCCCGAAGTGGGCAAGGTAAGGCCGGTACTCTGTGCGGCCAATTCACTAAGCCCGTTGCCTTCGCCTTCCACCGGCATACTGATGTCTGGGCTGTCAGACATATACTCGTCGGTGGCCACTTCTGTAGGAATAAGGGATGGCGAACCGCTCATATACCACAGTAGTGAATAGACCAGTGGGCAGCACTACGGCTGATAACCTATAGAAGCCACAGGATACGCCGTTAAGCCATGAGCAGGTGCGCTACCTTTTTACTCAGAGGGCTTGAGAGTCGCACGACGGTATGCACGTACACACGATGACTGTACACGATCATACAAACTCCTAGGAAAGTAGCGATGTAAAAATACAGAATTGTCCAAACTGTCCTTTGTTGGCCATGTCTTCTTTTCCATCGCCATGATCAGGATGGCAAACACCACCACAACCATCACCACCAAGACTACCATGGATGCAACACAAGGTTTGCATCATCGGCATGCCAATGCGGACTTGCAAAGCTGTACATTCACTGCTCCGATTTCCGGATCTGACTGTAGCCCCTGGCTCCTTGATCTTGCTACTTGAAGCTTATAGGGCTTAGGGATGTGCGAAGAGCCGTCGATTGACTAATTAAGGCTTGGCAATGCTTGGAGGATTTAGGAACAGCTGTTTCCCGCAGGGAACACTTCCAAAAGCAGGCTCTCCTGACCTGAGCCCTTCTGAGCTGCTGTGGCCTTCCGCCACCAGTCGCGCGGCGCACGCGCAGTTCCTTGAGCCGGCGTGAGAATCAAGTAAACCTTAAACCCCAAAACCTTAAAACGTTGAACCCGGCCCTGCACCCTGAATTCTAAACCCTAAAATCCCTACAGCCTAAAACTACGACCCCAAAATAATTCTTAAATCCTAAGAACGCTGAAAAATGTGAAACAAAAACTTATCAGTCAGAGCAGAGCTTATTGCTTTGGGGAAGAAGGCTTTGACTTGGGACTCTGTAGAAATATGTCGCGCGAAACGCTCATGAACACAATACCCCAGAGACGAAGTCGGTTAATAATTACCTAATTGAATCCCTGGCTGCCTGAACCCGTTGCTTCGAAACCCAAACCGAACTGCAGGCCATCCTCACAATCTCGGGCGAGCCTCTTGGAGCTCCTAAATCTGCCAAGCTGAAGCATATGAAGGATATTGAAGGATATGAAAGCAATAAAAACAAAAGAAATCGTTAAGAACCCCCATAGCATAAAACCCTCATCGAACCCATACTGTATACGATACACGAACACCTTTCAAGACCTGACCTTGCGACCAGGAATCTCCGCTCCCAAGACATCCTGGAAGCTGAGAGCTCAAGGCGCCCGCGTTTCTTTCTGGCTTTTCTGCTGTGGTGTTTGGGCTTACAGAGGTGCGCAGTTTGAGGCTCAGAGTGTTGAAACGCTTGTTTGAAGCCATTAAGACTCGGGCTTGCAGAACTAAGGCGAAAACCCTACAACCCAAACCTTAACCTAACAATCTAAACCCTAAAAAGCAAAATCGAAAGCCGCCTTAAGCAATAAACCTGAAACTCTAAACCCCAAAAACTAAACCCAAAACCCTAAACGTCTAAACCATACACCCACAAACTAAACCCTAAACCGAGTAGGGCGCCGGGCATGGAGCTTTAAAGCCTTGGTTGGATCCTCGAATTTTCGTGGAGACTTCGAATTACTGCTTTTGGGTCTCGAGTTGAGGATTTGGTTTGGGGTTTAGGAGCTGAGAACGCTTCCGCTGACCCTTTTAATGTGCGGTGCAGAGCTTGGATTAGGGTTAAAGGCGTGTCTCATCAGGACACCCGCTGAGAGAAATGCATAAAGTGGAAGCTCAATGCTGGTAACACTGCAGGTACGGGTTTTGGATCAAATCGCAGGGCGGCTCACTTGCGAGTATTGCCAGGAAGTCTCCCCCCAGAAACAGAACAAAGCCGTAAGGTTCAAAGAATACATGCCCCTTAAAACTCCAAAATCCAAACTGCTAAAGCTAGGCCCGTGATTCCAGAGATCTTACAGACAACTCCCATGTACAACCAAAAATCCAAAATGAACTTGAAAGCCTTCGACAGCAGTAATGACCCGAATTTGAAGCCCAAAGCGGCGAAACTCGGAAAAAAAACAACAAGAAATAAAGCTCCAGGCCATCCCGAGGCTCGCGATTTTCTGCCAAGCCGGCAACTCCTGAAATGTCTGCTCTTGTGGCCATGGCTCTCCATGAAGAGAAGCTACGGCCGGCAGAAGTGAGTGCTTGAAATTCCGAGCTTCGGGGGCTGTGAGAAGGGCTTCAAGTGGTATAGGTCTCTGTGAATTGAATCGGTTTCCCACATGTTCAGTGTTAGAACCGAGCAGCATATAGAATTATCTAATGTAGTATATCATGGGTGTTGGGGGGCTACAGCTTGCGGGTCTGAGATGTCGCTGTGCTGCGTGTCTTGCAAGGCTCGTGACGGTCGGCGGTACAGGTTTTTCCGTAATCCAAGATTCGACGTACTAAAGCACTTGCAGGAGAGCAACTTAGAGCGCAAGCGCAGCTCCTGCAAGTTGGGCTTTAAGGACTTATGCATGCTTCTTGGTCTTGCAACAAGTTCAGCTGCCCGTGATGTAAACTTAAAACGTTAACAAATCCTACGACCCCAGGGGCCCCAACACGAAAGACCTACAGATGCTAAACCCTAAAATTGCAACAAAACCCTAAATTGCTCCCAATCGGAAGCCCATGAAAAGCTAAATCCTCCCCACCTGCGATGCTTATTTTTGGTGTTCGGGCTTGAGGGATTTGGCTCGTGTCTGTAGGTGTAGAGATCACGTTTTTAAGAGTTATTAACTTGGAGTTTTGGATTTTGGGTCTGCTGCTTCATCGTCAAGTAAAAAAACCCAGGGTTTGGGGTTCCAGCTCTGCCACTTCCAATTGGGTTTCGGCTTGTTCTGGTGGACCTACGAAACGGTTTAGGATTTGGGGTTTTAAACCCCAAATCCTAAAACTTAATCGCCGCGATGTCAGTGATGCCCAAAAGTCTTCTAAGTATACTTAACTCAAGTGACTCTGCGTGCAGGCGTGGGCAAAGACAGCGAGATCTAAAGCCACAAGTCATACTCGTAACGCGCCCCAAGCCCTGATTCCTCTCCCCTTGAACCCGGCCCCGAGCCCCAACACCCTGAACCGTAAACCTAAAACCCCTAGTATACCCGTATAAGATCCTCGTAAAGTGCTCAAAACATACCCTGAACCCTGAACCGGATGTTGCTGAAGGCTGGCGCCAAGCAGCGGCTTCGCCGTGTGGTGGGCTTGGTGTAGGCTTAGGGCACCGGGTTTCTGTCTGTTATCGGAAATTATTTACCGCCTTCTGGTTCCATAGCAATTTCCAGAGGTTTTGCCCACGGTCCAAATAAGATGGTACATTCTTTAACAGATGTATGCGGTTTCTACAGTTCTACAGATGCTTCTTAGTGCTTCCGGTTTTGGGGCCTGGGGATCTAGAGTCTACGGTTAAAGATTTAAGGCTTACTGGGTGACGGATTTTGGTGGATTTCTGCCAGGACTTTAGGTCAGTCTCCACATACAACGTGTCGCACCGATGCCGGCACCCGCCGCAACTTCTTGCAAACTCCACGGAGCATCTTGAAGAAGTCATTTTGCTTCCCATGAACGATGAATTGCGATTTGGCCGGCCAGTTCCAGGGTGCAAAGGAGCCGCCTTTCACCAACATTATCTCTTTGTGATGATTGGGCAGAAAGCAATAATTGAACGCTCCTTGGTCAGACTTGAACGTGGCCAGATCGTAGCTCATCACGCAGTCGCCTCTAAATCGCGCACCAAGCCAGCTGTCAAGATATTTGAGCTTCTCATCCCTGGAACGAGGCAGCCAAAGGAACAAGGCGCCAATGTTGCATCCCTCATTTTTCTTCCACCACTTTGTGCCAGCTGCTTTCTGCAAAGCGTGTTTCCGATTTTTGATGCATCGGTCCACTTCGTGGATGCACTGCTCCTGCCCGCGATAGTTGCAAGTGGCAGTTCCATCGGCTTTGCAGATGTCCTCGGAAACGGTGATCATCTTCTTCCCTGGCAGGGGTTCAGACTCGCAAATCGCAACCCACTCGTCTCCATCTGCGTGATACCTTTCTCTCACGGTACTCAGCAAATCCTCTCCCCAATACTTCGGGTTAACAGTTGCATCGTGGTCCAAAATGAGCACCCATGGAGGGCGAACATAAGACTGCCGCACGGCCTCTTGGAGGCCCCATGGCTTCACCCAGCCGGCACCCAGCTTTGTTCGCCAACATGGAATGCTCAAACCCACAAAATCCAAGCCGTGCTCCAAAGCATATGCAAAATTTAAGGTGAGGCAAACTTTCGCAGTTTTCTGGCTCAGAATGTTCGCTGTGGTGCTCATAAAGACAGCTGCCGGGGGTGGCTTCTGAGCATGGTACACTACCATGTGGTGGTTGCCCCATGCTCCCAACATGTAAGGCAGGTTGGACACGTTTCCTGCACTGACAACTAAGGACGAAAGGTTGAAGCGCTCTGCCCAGTCACTTTCCTTCGCATGCAATCTGCCCACCGTCTTCACAGGCATGGGCAAAGCGGCCCCGCCCAGGAAATCCAACCTGGGGCAACCCACAAATTCAACAGAATGAGTCGTCGTCGACCCGGCAGTGCTCGTCGTGATTTCATCCATAGGGACAACGGTGGTGACTGGCTTCTGGACTCCTCCCTTGGCGGAGTCGCGTGATGCAACAGCCACTTCCCTGACTCCTGCTTCCGGAAGCGTACCTGGCGTTGCAGGGTTTCCCTGCATCCGCAGCAGCTTTGGCAGTTCGTGCATAAAGGACGGTTGTCGCCAGATCTGGACAAGCCCAAACGGAAGCACAACGCACGCTGCAGTACCCACCAAGCGGCGTGCCCAGCACTCCATGCGAGGAGTCGGATGCACGCCGGGCCAGCATCTAATCCTTTCAGAGCTTTCACCCAACCCTCGATGCCAGCTACACTCCTAGCAACCCTTTATGAAACAATGTCAAGATTGGGGCCGCTATGACGTCTGAAACAAACTATAAAAAGTGAAACTGAAACAGTAGAGACCTTGAGCCTCAAGTCTAAAGACTTCAGCGGATCCGGAAGCACCTCCGCGACTCTGCGACAGGTTGTGGTTACTTGATTTTGAATTGCTCATCCCAGTTCCACATTAACGTGTAACAGGCTTGATTGCTAGAACTCGCTATGGTCATTCCAGCACGGAGACGAACTTTTCGTTCGGGTTCCAAAGAAACATGGAGCTGCAAACTCTGGCGCTACATTGGGATGGCTGCCGCGCGACCCGAACAGACGCTAACTTTTGCAGCTTCTCTGCAACAGCACGTGCTCGAAACCATCTATACGACGAAAGCCGTAGAGCAACCACTCAACGATTAAACGAATCAGAGTTCGCGCATTTCCCGAATGATCTTCCCGCAGATGTTTTCGAACGTCCACCATGCTCCAAAGCAACTCCTTTAGGCCTTCTTGCCAAAAAATTCAGAACTCAACTGGAAACATATGTCCTTCCGGCTACAGGGACATGCACACAGACATCGCTGCGCTTCGAGCGCTAGGTCTCCGGACCTGATGTCCATGTTCACACAACTCGGACTTTCCTCGCCTGTCTCACGGACTTGAAACTTCACATTGCAAAGAAGCACACGAAAAGCTTCAAAACTGAAAAGAAACTTAATCAGACATCGACAAGGCGTAACGCAATACTAAACCTCACACTCAACCTAAACCCCTGCCTAAATGCAGGCTCTAAGCTTGAAGCAGAACATGAACCGTCACCCCAACAACCAATTGCTGATTCGCAGCCTAATAAGGGCAGGTGTAAACCCCCAGAACTCGAAAGCTTGAGCTGAATCCAAAACCCTAAAACCCCACAACCGCACCACAGGAGGAAGAGAGGGGCCCCCGACCCCACCACAGGGGGGAGGGGTTGCAGCGCTCGGAAAGGAGCAATCCACAAAGCACGAAAAAACCCGAAATACAACTGCAGGCACCACAAAAAAGCTGCCACCCAAGCGCACCGGCAAAAGACACGCCGCCAGCTCCTTTCCAACACAACCGAAGCAACGCAGAGACCCCATGCTAAAAGATCAAAAAAAACGCCAGCTTGGCTGACAATTTGCAGCAAGAAGAGACCACCAAGGCAACTCGTGCGAAATCTGGCGCGCATACCCTCAAAGATTCCCATTTGGGTTTGCAACCTCGAAACCTTCAATTGTGAACAGGGGCGCCTCATCAGCACCGAGAAATTTAAATTTTGTTCTGGACGTTGAAAACTGTGC